CTGACTCCATGTATTTTTTCACTCCCGGAAGTTTGCAACAAGCTGCTGGGAACAGCAGCTTCGGCAGGTGACATGCAGAGTGGATATGCGCGTCCCGGGGCCTTCACCCAAGCGCCCGCCACGGGGGGCACGGGCCTGGGCGCCCAGCTCCTCAGGAACGGAGGATTTCCTTATCCTGGGATCAAGCTCCGTCACAGCAGCAGGAGCAGTGCCACAGAGGGGCTGAGGAGCAGTGGGCTCGTGGGCCAGAAAACTGTGTTCTTTGGCATCAGCCCCCACGTTCCTCCCAGCAAGCTCTCATCAAGACAAAGCCCTTACAGCCAGCAGCAGGCCAGCCAGGCCCGAGTTCCCAGGCCCTCTGTCAGAACTGCTCCCCCTGCTGCTCTGTTCAGCGTCCACGGGGACGGTGGTCAAGGAGAACAGGCCGTCCCTAGACACAAGTCTGCACCCCAGCCTCTACCCAGGAATGGGTGGGACCCCAAGAGAAAGCGCATCTCTACACTGTGAATTCTTCATTTGCAATGGCAGCATTTCTGAGTTGTAGGGTCTCTGTGAGAACCATGTAGAAATATATACCAGTTAGTGGTCCATTTTGGTCCCTCATCAATTTTATCCAACTACTTGATTCAATAAAGAGTGACTTCGTGGGTCACTACTTGACTCTGGGTGCTACAACAAAATACTTCAGACTAAGAGCTACCCCAGAGACATCTGTCTCACACAGTACAACAAGCCAGAAGTCCAATCAAGGTCCTTGCCAGTTCCACCTCTGGCCAGATGTGTCTTCCTGGTTTGCCAGCAGCCACCTGCTCCCTGGTCCCATGTGGTAGGGAGATTGTCCTTTCTGTGTCTCTTCTTAGAAGGACACTAACTCTGTGAGGGCTCCACCCTCATGACCTAAGCACCTCCCAATGTCTCCTGCTCTTACAACCATCACGCTGGGGTCAGGGTTTCAACAAATAAATTTGAGGGGCCATGAACATTGTGGGGGGCAAAACAATCTCAAAAAGAATCTCAACTCCCTGCCAGCCTACCTTTGGTGTTATTTTTCTCTTGCCGTAGTATTATTCAACTTTATGACTTCTAAGTAGTTTTCCAGCCCAGATTTCTCTCTAAAAGTCAGGAGCCACATGCTACAGTGACCCTGAGACATCTGGTGATCAAAGCCAGGAGTGCAGACCACCTGAGTGGCCAGGTGGGAGCCAGAACACCCCAGCATGTCTCACATCCCCTGAGCTCTTCAGGGCACAGTTAATGCTCACAGGGAGCCCAGGATGTGCCAGGCACTCCATAAACTATCCATGCAGAGGGTTCACATGAGCTGTCCTGAGCAAGCACACTGGCTCCAAACTTGTGGGTCCTCTGCCTGGACTCCATGCTCATTGTCCATCCTGGCTGAGCCCTGCCCTGGTCTGTCCCTGGGCAAATGCCCACACGTGGGTGCTACAGCACCTGAACTGTCCCTCCCAAAGGCTCTGTTGCCCTCAGTGAAGTGGCGGTGACCACTGCCTCCTGCTAGGGTAGAAGCACCAAACAAGTCTCCCCGACAGGATGCCAAGCTGTGGGCTGTAGAATGTCACCCAGGGGAAGCGGCCTGCTCAGGGGATGAAGCAAACATTGACAGAATACCCTGGAGAGGCTGGGAGGGTCAGCTTGGGTTTTCTAAACCAACCCAAAAGGAAGGAAAGCCCAGTGGAGAAAACAGCAGGAAACCTCAGGGAACCTGCCACTGTCCCCTGCATGTGGGGACCAACGAGGTCGCAGATGGCAAATGCACAGGAAGCCGGAGGAGGGGACCACACTGAGGGGAACTCTCACCCAGGGCCAGCTCTGCCCCCAAGGCACACCTGGTCCTGGGCAGAGACATCAGCAGTCATCTCAGTGGGGGAGACACCTCTGCATCTAACAGGAAGGCTGCCCAATCCAGTAACGCATGGGGCAGTCCCCATCGCCACCACACGCAGAGCCACCCAGCCACACATGTCCTCACTGCTGAGGCTGGGAAATCCGAGGTTCCTAACGGTGAGGATTAGCCCAAGCCCCCTGTGACTGTCACCCTCCCCAGCGCCAGTGACCTTGGTGTGACCTTCAAGATACAAACTGGAGGTCTGTACTCTGCTGGGCCCAGCGATGGCCCTGGAGGCACAGAGGGGACTTTTTTTTTTAAAGAGAAAGGAAAACAAAATAACAACAAGCAAGACAAAAACGAAACAACACAAACAATAAAAAATGATACAGAATTTCAGAACAAGATGATAGGAAGTTAACAGTGGTTTGTTATATCACATATTGTTATTTTCCACGAAGTTTCTCATATTACCAGATGTAAGAATGCAACGTGGATCAAACAATTAAAGAGAATAAAAATAATTTGAAAAATTAGAAATGATACAATTTCACTCATCAAGTTAGTAGGAATTCAACAATGGTTGTTGCATTCCATATTGTTGTCTTCAAATTAGTTGTTCACATTACCAGATATAAGCATGCAAAACTGGTCAGAAAAAGAAAAACGTAAGCATTCACTGTCCCTTTCAATAAACCAATAGACATCAGCAGTACAGTTATCCCAGCTATCCTGGTAAGGCCCTGAGGACAAGCGCATGGGAAGGAACCAGGGGACAGCGGTGTGAGCTCACACAGGGGCCAGCAGTTAACACACTGTCCTCAGCAACAGCGCGTGGTCCCCACCCCTGGTGAGGAGAAGCTGCAGACTCAAACCCAGACACCAAACCCAGGTTTGGAGTCACCAGGCCACGTGTGACATCCTGCATCAGCGAGCACCTGCCCGGCCTTTGTTCAGTTTGTTCAACGCCACTCTGAGCCTTAGCAGGAAAAAGACTCATCGCCACACTGGACCACACAGAGGCACCAGCTGAAACTTGCCCTTGTTTGCAAACGGTTACAGGATCATAACACTTTCTAATCGTAAAAAGGAAAGCAGACAGCAATTCCATCCGAGGACTCTTCCGTGTGAAAACAAATTGTAAGTGTGTGGAATTTTTAAAATATTTTATAAACAATCCTCTAATTCTTGGCACTGTAGGAAGTCCTTCCTGGGAGCAATGGTGTATGCAGGACAGGTAGGAGTTCGCCTCTGCTGTTACTGCCCACAAATCACCCTTGGAGTCACAGGTAACCAGCAGGAGTTATTCTGCCTTTAGAAGACCACACATCACTCCTGCTCCCGACTTTGCTGAAAACATTGCTAATAATTAGGAGAGATCACATTTTACCTTGGAAATTTGGTCAATAGAAGTAAATTAAATGGGATTAGAACTCACACTGTGAGCTAATACCTGTTGCTTCGTACCCAGTTGGCTTGTAAAAGTGAGTTCTATTTTATTTTAGCTTAACTTACTTTGCTGTACTGTGTTGTACCATATTTCATTATGCCTTCAGAACCATGAGTATTTTTTTCAAATAACCCATTAATTAACCCCATGAACCTATGCTACTCTTCATGTTGCTACTCTTGAAAGACTGAACAATAAATACAAGGATGAACTCTGCTGGAGGCTGTTTAGAGGTGCAATTCATGCCCTTGTAATTCAAGGTTCCCTAACAGTGGAATAATGCACTAGCGGTTCTTTATTGTGCTTTGATTCGCCTTGTGTCCTGGGTCAGTGTCAAAGAGTGTCAGTGAACTGAACACCCAACCCTAGAAGGTGCTCGATAAACACTTGTGAACAGACAGAGGCAATGCCATGGGGCGCAATCGCAAGCTGTGGTCTTGGGGTCCTGGGTTTTGACACAGCCTGCCTTGGTGCCAGCAGTCGAGGTGAGCTCAGGAATCACATCCTGGGCAGATGTGCGATGGGCACTGGATATGGGCAGAGCACTGTCCAGCTTACTGGGCCCCTCCTGGCTCTGGTCCCCTGGTACTTTCTTTAGATACACTTCTTCGATGAAGCTGCGGTTCCCGATGGAGGGAGAGACAGAGATAAAGCCACCAGCTCTGTCCTGTGGAAAAGGTATTCCAATCCTGGCTGGCAGGGTCAGGCTCATAGCGACCTCAGCTAGAAATGCACACACCAAGCTGGAAACAGCAGCTTTTCGGCTGAGGAGTGGAGGCACTGAGACCGTGGTGGAACTGCTTCCACCCACGTACACACATGCACATATGTACACATGTGCACACGTGGATACACATCTGTGCGCACATGTGTAACACACACACACACACACACACTCTTCTGCACAGGAAGTTCATCTCTGATCAGAGAAACCTAAGTAAAATTATTTTACAAATTAAACTTAATATTCCCCTGCCACTCTCCAGCACGCTGCTCTCTTCTGTGTCTGCACTGGTGGGGAGTTTTCCTCGTTTCCACCTATCAAAGGATGAATTTTTAATGCTTGACTACAAACAAAAGGTAATACGATGAGGCAATGGATATTTCTTAATGGAATCTTTCTAATATTTAGATCAAACTATTTTATTGTACCCCATAAATATGCATCATTATTATTATTTATCAGTAAAAAATAAATTTTAAAACTTAATAAGTTCAAAAAGCCCCATCTGACCGTTTTTCTGCCCCTACATCTCTCTCTTGCCCTCTTACAGGACACAGCTCCTGCCACTCTCTCTGGGGATGGAGGCCGTGCTTTGCTGAAGGAGCTCTGGGGGTCTCCACAGGAAGAGGGCCGCTGCTCAGCCTGGTGTTCCTGGAACCAGCCATGAAGCCAGGCCACGAGAAGTGCTCACGAGACAGATGGGGAATGCTGCCTACGTTAGGGGTGGTCACGTGGAGCGGGAAAGGCCCTAGGAGAGACCAGCCTGAGCCCAAGAAAGGACGCTGTTCATCACGTCAAAGAAAGTATCCTATGTCTGTCTTCCCACCTGCCCCTCAGTAAGATTTTGGAAGAAGAACAGAGATATAGGGAAAGGAGATGTTTCAAACCCATGCCTTCGAACAGACAATCGAGAGAGTCTGGTCAATCAGAAGCCGTGAAATACAGAATTAAGGTTTCATTCATTTTTTTTGTTGGCTTACCTTTTGAGTAAGGTTTATTAAGCACAGTCTGAGGCAGGGTCTACACCAAGCATCAGGACAGAGAGGTATGTGTGGTTCACGATCATACCTACAAGGTAACAGAAAAATTAGAACGCAGCCCTCGGGCAGTCAATGTGGAGCATGGTGGGTGTATGTGGGAGCAACCAGGGCTGCAGAGAAAAACAGACAGGACAAAGACGCATCTTACAAGCACCCTGACCTTCACGAACAGAGCGTCTGCTCTGACGTTATTATGTTTACATAGGCCTGCTACCTAATATTAAGCAAATAGGTCAACAACTAAAGAGAAAGAAAAGTGTGGCCCATGAAACCCACCCATGTGTTGAATCACCCTCTGCATCGACAGCTTGAGACTGACCCAGCCTCCACTGGACACCGGAAGAGGCCTGAGGCTGCCCAGCCCTTCCCGTGACAGTAGACGGCATCACTCTCGGCAGTCATCCAGTGTGCCAGCTTCACATGCTGAGGGCATCAAACAGGAAAGGACAGAGGCCTGCTCAGAGTGGCGGCCATGGTGTGTGCTGAAACCACGCTGAAGAAGGCATTCCTCTCCGGTGCAGCTCTCCTCCCCCAAACTATGGCAGCCCTTGAGCTTCCTGGCCTCCTTCTCAGGGAACTGGCCTGCCGTGGCTGTGCCCTCTTCCAGGCTGGTCTCCTGGTGATGGTGCTTGGTGGAGAAACCACCTGGTGGGTTCCAGGGTGTGTCAGGGGTCACTGAATCCAGCCAGTGGGTGGTTAGGGCAGGTGTGCAAAGGTAGGTAGTGACCTACTGTAAGTGGGGACCAAACAGATAAACCGAAGCCTCACTCCAGGGCTAGCATGAGAAGGTAGGGGGATGCATGGATAGTGTTATGGTTTGTGTCCGGATGCCCCCCAGAGCCTCACGTAGTCATGGGGTGGGCTTCCAGAGCTTATAACTGATTCATTGTCCAATGCTGGGTTTATGGGTGTGCCTGCTACACCCGCCCTGGGGCAGACAGTTTGCATACAGTATAAGGGAAGGAAAGAGGCTGCTTGCTGCAGCTCCTCCCCTTGTGCTTTTGTTGCTTTTGCTGTTTTCCACCTCCACGAATTGTTGCCCTCTGCCATGTGCCACCTTGCTTTGGAGCCAGCTGATTATAGACTGAAACCTCAACAAACTGTGAGCTGAATAAACCTTTCCTTTATTAATTCTGGGCATCAGGTATTTTGTCTCAGCAACAAAAGTAACCAAGACAGAGAGATAGCAATACATAAGGAACAAACAAGAGGACCCAGGCTCACCTATGAGAAGTAGAGTCCAAGCCTGAGGTTCAGGACAGAACCTGAGCCCCAGTGAAGGCCACTGTGATAAACAAGGCGGAGCCAGGGTCATGGGAATGAGGCGAAGGATGATGGAGTCTGACTGGAGTGAGTGAGGGGCCAGGAGGTGGTCTGGGATCAGCAAAGAAGGTGAGTGTGCAAGCAAACAATGGAGGTGAAGGAGAGAGGTTAGACTTGGGAAGCCAATTCCCCTCCGCTCTTTCCTGTCCTCTGACATTGTTGTTTTCTTTATAAAGGAAACACAAGCAATCAAAGAAGAATTTCTTACATTTCTCGCCTTCACTCTCACATTATTCCTCTGGAACACATCATCTACCTAAACTTTAGCATCATTCTGTCAATTCAGAGAAAAGCACGAATATGGACACTGCTGACACACACATTTGCTTTAACTGGGGATTTCCTTGTGCATCTTTTGCCAAGTTCTTCTCCTGAGTATTTGATGTGGCATGAAACCACTGTCAAGAACATCTATTCATCTTCCTCTAATGGTTTCCTACCAATAAAAAAACGTGGCCAACTTTTTAATTTTTTTTTTTTTTTTTTTTTTTTTTGGTACTGGGGATCAAACTCAGGACCTTGTTCTTGCCAGGTAGGTGTTTGCACCACTGAGCTATATCCCCAGCCCGACTATTTTATATGCAGCCGATTGGCCTAGGACTCCTGTTGGGTTATATTTCTCCTTCTTCCTCTGCTCTTTGCCTCTTCCTGCTCTTCAAACCCCACCACACGACAGTCCCCACCATCTCTACAGTCCCCCGACACTCCTCTCCTCTCCTCCAAACCATCTGCCAGCCCCATGGACACCTCGCCTCAGCGCACGCCCTCCTTCCTGTCTCTGATTCGTCTGGTGCATGTGAGGGTCCCTTCGGATCCCTCTGGGGATCCCCTGTCTGGCACCTCACCCCTTCCACCTCTGTTCCTGTGTTCACCTCACTCCCAGACACCACCCAGCGTAGGAGCCCATCTTCCGGGCTCTTCTGAGGCCGGAGTTCCAAGTGCACATCTTCCTGATCGACGAGGGGAGAGACTGCAATTGCTGTAGCCGGTGACGCAACACTGCATTTACATCCATCCAGGCATGTGTGGCAGGGTGCAAACGGTGGATTTCAAAATAGTCTCCAAGGAGATTCTTGGACAGAACGTTGACCCTTGGTGGTGCAAAAGAACGCTTCATTTCTGTTAATCTGGATTTTTGTAGAAGGCTTTGAGCAGCCCTAGAGAATCACACCACTGCTTCTCAAAATTGAGGCAGAAATAAGCTCAGCACCCTCCGTCCCCTGTCCTATTCGTCTACTGCACCCTACATTTAAAAAAAACAGCAAGAGACACTGATCCTGGCTTTATTCACACAGTAGTATCCAATGTTGGGAATTATGTGGGTGTAGATACAAAATAAGGAAAACGGGGTAGTAAACAGCAGCTGCAGAGCCCCACATTCAATCACAACGAACTTGTGTGCATCCAACATGACCCTGTTGTCACAGTTCAGTAACCTGTGATCCAGAATTACAAAACTGACACATAACAGTAAAATAAATGTGCCCTCTGTGGTACATCTCTGTTAAATCTTACTTCAAATTCATTTTTTATCATTTCTACACCCTATGTACAAACACACACACACACACACACACACACAAACACACACACACACACACATGTGGGCTAGAAATCAAATCCTGCTCTGGTCTGATTTCCAGTTGACCCACCTTTACTTTCACCTGTTTATCCTTAGCCTTTTCCTTCCTAATCCATATCAAAGAGAGGATCCTCTCTCTCTCTCTCTCTCTCTCTCTCTCTCTCTCTCTCTCTCTCTCTCCTTCTCCCTCCCTCCCTCCTTCTTCCCAGACCTCATCACCTCCACTAAAATAACCATCATCCAACCCCATGTTCATCATTTTTGTTTTTTATTTTATTTTAATTAGCATATCCATCTCGTATTCTTACGGACTATATTCCTAAAGTATATTTGCCTTAATTTCCCTTTGCCTTGCAGAAAAGTTTATTTCTTCTCACAAAAATAGTCCAGATTACTTCATCCAAAGTTAGGAATGCATGCACTACTGCAATTTGGACAGTTTGATTCTGCTTTGTTTTCCTTTGGTTTTTAAACTTTACAATGAGTATATTTAGATTTCGATTTTTTTTCACTCCTTCTCCTTGCTATGACTCATCCGTATGACATACTCATCCTCCTGCTGTGTAATACCCCATTGTGTGAAGAGACCAAAGCCCATCCCCTACTCTCCCAGATGAGCATTTGAGTCATTTCCAGAATTTCTCTGTGGTTATCAGTGCAGCTCTGAGTTTAATCAGACACTGTGCTGTGTCCCAGACTTTCTCCCAGGCAGGAGCAGGTTTCTCGTGTAATAGCACATGTGCCTGCCTGGCCCTAGGAAGTAAGGATAACTTGCCTTCCACAGTGACCCCATGACGTACAAACCCTACAGCCATGAATGCCACCTCTCCTCACCCTCCAGGATGGGCACTTTGCAGCTTCACAGGTCAATCAGTGTGAAAAGGGACCATACTGTGCTTCTTCTTCAATTTCCTTCACCCCCAGTGCCGCTGACTTGGTCAGACATTTATTGGAGATGGGAACCTGGTCCCACATGTGCTGCCTCTCCTGAGTTTTCACACTTTCTAATGTGTAGTTTCTCCTTTCCCCAGCAGTTTTCTGAGTTGTTTGAACCCATCCTCCATGGCAACTGTATTCAATCATGACATCTGCAGAGACGATCTTCTCCCAGCTTTTACTTGTATTTCATATATTTTGGATGGCAGATAAGTTTTTATTTTTAATACAGTCATATATATTAATTGTGCATCATCTAGCCTACTTCTGCGTGCTTCTATGTGCCTATTCTCCTTCTATGCAAGAATTCCGTTACATTGAAGAAGTTTTAAAATTTTAGTTGTTAATTTTTTTAATTTTAGACTGACTATCTCTCTTGGTCTGCTTTTCATTTGCAAAACGTCTATCTCCTTGCTTCCTGTCATCTATCTGTTCTTTTACTCTAGGTTTCACATATAAAAAGAGAAACCTTTTGCATCTGGTTCATTTCACTTAACGTTTACGTGTGTCATCAGAGCCAGGAGCCCGGCCTTTGTGTGGCTCCTGCATCTCATTTGCGTGCTGGTTCATGTCACCCCCAGCAGGAGACATGCAGAACTGCCCCAAGATCTCCCTTCTGCCTCTTCTCCACCCCGACCCCACCACGCTTCCCTGATCTCTCCCAACTCCCAATCCAGGCACCCTCAATCCTTGCAAATGTTAACTTATTCTTCTTTGTACTGATCATCCTGTTACTTTAAGAGGGCCATACACACGAAGTCATGCAAGGTGTGACACCTGAAGGCAACATTTTCTATTAGGCATAATGCCTTTTAGACCAGCAAGTTACTGTGTGCGTGGTGTTTGGGAGATTCTGCTGCTGATGTGCAGTGCTTCTAGAGCAGTGGGTGCAAACCTATGGCACATGTGTTGTTTTTCTTTTAAGACAAAAAATTGTTAGTGTGTAAGTTGTTTTTCCTGAACTAAAACCTCAGTGTTCGGGTTTAATTGCAACGTGGGCACTTTGCAATAAACAAGTGGGTTTGGGGCTCCAGTTTGGCGCTCAGACTCTAGCAGTTTTGCCACCAATTTTCTAAGTGGTCGCCCACTGTAGACACACAGCCGTCTTCAGCTTTGAGCCTCACAAGTAAAGCTACCATGAAGCTCTTCTACAAGTGCATTCCCTTTCCATTAGTGTGTGTCTGTGG